CTCACCCAATGGTCATTTCTCATCTAACTGGTTCACAGTTAGGGGAATGACATTGCAGCCACATGCCCCTTCATAAAACTTTACAAGGAAGTTACACCCACCCCCAACTAGGGCTTATCTTAGCAAAGACTTGGACTCCACCCTAGGAAAAGAGTGTAATGCCGAACTCGCCATTACATTACCCCACTGTGGGAATATGGGAAAGCCTGAGAAAAGAGAAGAGCTCTGTGGCTGGGGCAGGTCATGGGTTGCTGGAAGCCCAGGTGGCTCATCCAGGAGCACGCCCAGGTGGCTCATCCCGCTGCTGTGCACACCCTGAGGGAGGCCTGGGGGGCAGATGCCCCCCAGATCTTTGTGCAGGGTGGAGGCAGGCTGCTGCTGCGAGCTGGACTCTGCGCCCCACGTGCAGCAGGCACATGGCTCACACTGCTCCAGGATAGTGGTAGCAGGGCCCGAGCCCAACTCCCATTGGCAGCTTGCCTCCATCCCGCGCACAGATCCAGGGGGCACATCCTCTCTGGGCCTCCTCCAGGGTGTGCACAGCAGCGGGAGCCCCTCTGCGCCCCTGGAAGAGTTGCCCAGGCTCCAGTGTCCCATGACCCACGTTGTCCCTGAGGCCCCGTTCACCCCAGCCCCTGCCTCAGCCCCACTCCCTCCCTCACTGTGGGGGTTTCAGTCTGCCACCCACACCACTTCCCCATGACAGACTTACCTGCTGGGGGGAGGGTGTGTGCATGCAAGCACACATGCTCAACCCCCCTCCCCCCAGAATAATATTTTCTCCATCTGCTTATGGGGACTGGGCCTATCACCAAAGTCCAAAGTACAGAGCCCCGGTAGGGATGTGATTTCACAGCAGCAGGATGAGCAGCCGCTGTATTAATCCCCCTGATTTCCTAAACTGACACAGCACCGGTCACTCTGCTGCCGCTCAGAAGTGGGTCTTGATCTGGCCTGAAGAACCAAAGGGAGATTGACATACCTCATGTAAATAAATGTGGGGCTGATATCTTCCTGGTGAAAATTCAAGACCTCACATACTGAGAGATGGTTTTAAAACAATAACTAATTTTATTGTTTTGAATGGGGCATAAGGTGTACTTATTTCTTATTCTTTAAAATGTTACCTCCTGCCTAAAGCCAGGTTTGTACCTTCAGACAAGGTGGCATTACAGAAGAATAAACCCCACTTCCTGATCCATGCTTTGATCTTCTATGCAGCTTTGTTAGCATTGCCTGGCTACATGCTACAGATACAGTGGCAGGAGCAGGGATTGGGGAGTGGGAGTAGACATGATCAGTAAGTGGGCAGAAGAAAGTTACTACCTGCTGTTTGGAGAGGGGACACAAGCAGGGTGGAAGTTGTGTAAATGACTTTCCCCTGAGAGAACTATGGCAGCCATTACACTTTAGCCCACACTTCTATCTTTGCCATTTGACATGGGATCTCTGACAGCAACAGGGATGCAGTTGGTTACAAAGAATGCAATTTCCCAGTTTGAGTAGACATGATCAATCATATTGTTTTTGTTGCATTTTATCCAAATTCCAGTTGCTTTAGAACTAAAGTTGTCAGATACCCGAGTCTTTTAGCTATGTCACTAAGACGACCTGTTTTCACTCCATATTTGTTGATATTGGTGTAAGAATTGCTTAATAAACATCATCACACAATTTTTAAATATTTCACAATATTTCAGGAGTTCACTGTTCAAGAAAAATCCTATGTTGTAATATCTGAATGTTCTACAAGATTCTCATGCTAGCCATTTTTCAGGAACTATGTTGACTAGCTTGTATGGGGGGTTTTCCCCCCTCCCTCCCTAATTTCACCATTGGGTAACAAATCACAGAGCACACTTTTATGGTGTCACTTCGCATGACTGATTATTGCTTTTCAGAGTTACAGCCAGTTGTTTACTACAGTTTCAATGAATGGATGAGAGAGTATTTTGGATAGTTTTGACTTCAGTGCATTCTGTATCTAATTTGTTAATTTGTTACAAAAATGAATTAATTTTAATTGATTTTTAATGTCATTTATGTTGCTGTTGATGCCTACAGGCTAAATACATTGCAGAAGATGGTATTTGTTGACAGTAGAAGAAATTGGGTGATTGGGTTGATGTAGGCCAAGAAGTTCATTGCTTTCAAATGAAATGGCTTAGCAGTTCTCTAAATTGCTTCTGTTTTGATTTTTTTTTTTTTTTTAAATCACAACCTTTGTGATGCTAGTGTTGTTGTTTTAGTTTTCCTCTTTTTCCCTTCATCTCTCTGTTTACTTACTCTCTGCCTTTCTCTCCCCTGTGTGGCCCAGCCCCCCAGTCTCTGTGTGTATGCTTAGAAATCCAGTCTGAACATGTTCTTCCACTTGCAGTGTAATGTTCACTTTGGTATCTGGTCTACTGTAAATTATCTGTGTATTCATGCAATCATGTCGCCTTTTCCTGATTCATTAAAGTGATACTTATGTGGCTAGTAACCTGGAATGAATGTACTAAGTTTGAAGGCCGAATTTTGTCTTTAGTGTGTACACATACACATGTGTAAATCCCCGTGAATTTAGGGGATTTATTTCAAAATATGATGTAGGGCAATGGCTTATTTATTCTTTATTTTATTTAACTTGTCTGCTGTAATTATATTTAGAGGCTAATCAGATGCTGGGCACTGAATGGGTATGTTGTAAATTTCAGTCCATTCTTCAGTCATTTTATGTTCTAAAGGAAGTGATCTAAGCCTTTAGTGAAATTCTGAACTTTTTAGAATTACCTATCCATGGTCTACACCGAGAGTGCAGGGACACAACACAATTGCAGCAGAGTCATTTATCTCCAATTTACTCTGTTTTACTCCATGCCCAGTCTTCCCAACCTTGCTGACTACAGTATACCATTAGACTGTCTGCCTGGTGAGTGCATAGTGGAGGAAATGATTTGCATAGTTTAAGAGAGTATAAATGGGACACATTCTACATTGTAAAATCACCATATAATAAAGTTAATTTGCAACTTTTAAGGAAGAATTTTATGCTAGGCTCAAGTGATTTGCTACATAGTAGTAGTAAGTATTGCGTGTCCACTGCACTTTTACCACATAGTAAAGTCAACTTACCACATAGTAAAAGTGTTGCGTGGTCTGCACTTTGAGTCAGTTTTTTAGCCCTTATATCTTCTAAGGTGCATGGATTGAACATTTGTGTAACTGAATTTACTGAAAGTTGTGTGTGTGAAAAGCATGTAAAAGCAAATGTCACCAAAATCTTGGAAGTTGGTGAAAGATTCCCTTTTCCAATAAGAAGCCAGCCAAGCAGCAGAGTAGATCAAGTTAAATTATAAGGCTTTGTGGGGATTTCAAAGAAAAAAATAATCAATAATTATTCTTCTAAAGAGTGCTTGAAGTGTATGTTTATAGTTGCATCTGTGAACTGGCAGCTATATTTAGTTCCCAATCACAGAAATATCCTACAGTTCTCTGAACTGTCCTTACTGTGTCAATGTTTACTGATACTTATATGTTGATGTTAGGAAGTTGTTCCATTTTTATTGACTCTTTAGGATTCTTTTAGTTTCAACTAATGCATTTCAAAATATCTGAAGGGCTTTTCTGTCCAAGATGTATAGAGAAAGTACTAATGGTAGCCATTAGTATTTATCATGGTGTAGTAAAATCATTATTTTTCTTTGGTAAGTTTTACTGTACCACACTCATCTTGTTTATATTCTAGAAAATGAAGAAGTCAAAGAAACCACTTTACGAGAGCTTAAAATGCTTCGCACTTTGAAACAGGAAAACATAGTGGAACTGAAGGAAGCCTTCAGAAGAAGAGGAAAGCTGTACTTAGTGTTCGAATATGTGGAAAAAGTGAGTTGAATTTGTGTGATCCCTTTCACAGCAGAATCATCAAGCAACTTATGGAGAATAAATGGAGCTTTACAATAAAGAATAAATTTGAGCTTTAAAAATGAAGTTATTTTAATGTAGAAATGGGAAACTGAGAAAGTATTAATAACAGAGTTAAAATTATACAAACAGCACAATTTACTAATGCTATTTGTATAATTTTCACTGTTTTATTAACAGTTTTTCTGTCTGGCAGTACATATGTGTGAATTACGTATGCTATTTGTAATATAAAATATACACTTTTTTATATATAATACAAAATTTCTAGATAGATAGAGACATGACTCCTTTATCCATTCTCTGAGGTAGACCATTACAAATATATTACATTATGCACTTCCTGTGTATATACATATATGCACACATTATATTATATATATTCATAATTGCTTACCTCAGAAAATGGCTAAAGGAGTCATGTGAGACCCAACATAAAACAATCTGGAGTCATATACACTGAACTGTCTTTCAGTTGAGTAAATAGTTTATTTTCCCCCAAACTTCAAAAGAGAGTTTAATTGTGAGGTTGACTAGTGTGGCCTTTAAGAAGGAAGCTTGAGCTAATTTTCCAAAACAAGAACGTAGTATCACCACGTATCCTGTTGCTAAAAATAGAATTTGTTTTACTATGATTTTCATATTGGAATCTATGAAAATATCAGTGTCAGTCTTGCTTAAAAAGGACTGTATCTACTTTAAGAAAAAAAAGTGTTTGCAGGACTTGGGAGAAACTCCCCATGACCAACTGACTTAAACTTCTTCCAACCCTGACCTCATCTAAACCTATTCCACAAGTTTCTGTCTGGCCTCAGGTTGGCTCTTCATTAGCATCCATACACCTTTCTCTAAAGAGAAACAGCCTGGGACCGGATTAGTCCTCTACCATCTCTTCAGACCAGAATAGGCCTTTCTTCTGGGTTCTGCTCCCTGCTTCCCCTGGCTTCATATAAATAAATACTAACTTATATTTAAAGCAGTCTTCCTTTGGCCTTGCTCCTTTTCCTGAAATCCAGATTTGATGTCTTGCTAGTGCTCTGCTGATGGCCACCTAGTCCTCCTCAGTTAAATCATTTCCCCTAATATGTAGCACTTCCCTTCCTTTGTATTAGCTTCCAGCAGTACGTGCAGTTCTTACTGAATGAGTCACAAGACTCCTCACCACCACCTGCTTCCTTTACTCAAGCTTTATAAAATGATTATGTGATTTTATCTTGTTGCTGTAAGATAAAGTAACCGAAGGTCTGTATAAGAATATAGTATCCATGCACTGGTTACAATAAATTTTGTGTTGTACTTTGTGGTGATGGATGAATTCTTATTCCATAAGATCCTTGATAACTCTGATGTTTGGATTGTGAAGTTCCTGCCTTAATCCATCCTTTCTCATAATGATCAATTCTGTCTTCATTTTGAATATTTCTGTTTGGGCACCTGATGCCTGAAAGCTTGTCCAACAGTTCTCTCACCAATACAGTTGGTTCAATAAAAATGTCACAGAAAAAGAAAAAGCCTTGCAGCTTAGACATTACCTGGATAATCATGGCTACAACAACACTCCAACTGCATTCATGTATGCACCACTATTGTATATTTAGTAGAGGTGCACCAATAAAAATGTTCTTGACTGATACCGATAGCCAATTAATAACCAGCCATATCAGCTCATACCAATCCAATGGGCAATTTACATAAATGCAGCAGGGCAGCTTGGAGAGCAATGTCCTGCTAGTAAGTCTGTGTGGGGGGGGGGGGGGAAAGGGCATGGGGGGGGGAAGATCAAGGCCCCCACAGTAAGGGAGAGGGAAGGACGGGCACG